TGGCAAAGGAGTGGGATGTATTTCAGACACATGTTCGTTTGTATGTCCCAAAGCTCACCAGTTTCTTTAAGGTAGAGATCGTATTTTTTTTTTTATCTCTCTGTTCCTAGAACAGTCCAATGACACGCAAAAAGGTGGTCTATATGGTTGCTGAATCAGTGGAAAATAGGTATTCATATGGGCTATCTCACAATAAAAGCATTAGCATTAAAGGCTCAGTGATAACTGATAAGACAATACACTGATTACATTCAACCTAACCTTTCTAGTGATTTCTTTTAAAGCCCTTATTAAGATGGTAAATTCCCCATCCCACACACTCCTATGGGCCAGGGAGTGTTCTAAGAAGACGTTAGTCTACACTCAGAAGATGGTCTGGCGCGATGGCTCATACCTGTAATCCTAGTACTCTGGGAGGCCAAGGTGGGAGGAACGCTTGAAGTCAGGGGTTTCAGACCAGCCTGACAAAGAAAGAGCAAGATCCCAGCTCTACTAAAAATAGAAAAAGTTAGCCTGGCTTGGTGGCCTACGCCTGTAGTCCCCGCTACTCCGTAGGCTAAGGCAGGAGGATCTCTTGAGTCAAGGAGTCTGAGGTTGCTGTGAATTAGGCTGACGCCATCGTACTGTACCCCAGGCAACAGAGCGAGTCTCTCAAAAAAACAAAACAAAACCAACCAAACAAAAACAGAAGACGGGAAAGACCGCTTTCCATATCAATTAAATGGTGACTGCAAACCACATTCAAGTCCCTAAATCCCAATTGCACGCCCGGGTTTGGGAACCAAAATCGCTGACGCCCAATTTCTGGGCGGATGCGCGAGTATGTTACGGTGGATCGATTGCTTTTGCCTGGCGGAGGCCTATTACTAAAGGACCGCTTCCGGGAGAGCCACGGCAAGGAGATGAGTGAAGGACCTATTCGTTGTGGCTCAGAGCTTGGGCCGCTGAGATTTGGGAGTCAGCGCCAGGCCTGATTGGAGATATAAGTGGGTCGAAGGATTTCGTCATGTTTGCACCCGAGGTGATGCGTGCCTTGCGCAAGAACAAGACCCTTCGCTACGGAGTTCCCATGTTGGTGAGTAGGATGCAGAGAAAGTGTGGTGCTGGAGTTGCGGAAGGGGTGGAACCTCTTCTCTGGCGGGCTCAAGACTGCAAGGTAATAGGTGAGGTCAAGGACTTGCACCCGGGCTTGGAAGGAGCTAGCGATAGGTGTAGAGTTTTTAGGCAGTCTTTTTTTTTTTAGTCTTCTTCCCTCGCTTGTAGTGGGATCTCGGGGACCATTCCTTCCCCTGGTAGTTACCGGAATCTGCCGACTTGTGAGTGTGGCATCTTTTCCATTGTCGAATGCAGTCGCTGTGATTCACAGCTGAGTAAACTGAAGCTCAGAGAACGAGATCAGAACCAGAGTTTAACCGAAGTCTGGATGATTAAGCTTGCTTACCCCACCCCCAACTCACGCTGTATTTTGACAGTACTGTGGATCGTGGGGACTAGATGTATTTAATGTAAATGTACAATTTGTGGTATTTCCCCGTCTCAGCTTCCTAGTTTATGAATTGGCTTAATTCTTCCAGGGTTATTGTGATGAACTAAATAAGACCTTGTGAATTTAGCACAGTGCCTGCCACATTGTAGCAGCCCTCAAATGGTCGCAATTTATATTTCTAAAGCACAGTGAAAGCAGCTTTGGTGTTTTTATGTTTGCATCCAATTCTCCAGAGTTCCCTAAAGATGTCATGAGGATGCAGGTTGAGGCTGACATAAATGCAGCCAGTGTTGAAATCCAGACGACTCTCTTTATTTGCTCTTTGATCATGAGCAAGTTTTTTTGCTTCAGCAAGTTTTGAGGTCATAGTAAATGAAATAATTTAAGTAAAGCATTTGAACAAGAGCTGCTTTCTTTTGAATAAAGAATAATTTATTGCTTTGGTATAGATGTTTGTGCAGGTGTAGTTACCAGCTTTTGCATTTAAGCAGACTAAAGGAAAGAAGTGACCTTAGAAATGTAATGAGTTTTTATTCATCTTTGATGAATCTCAATTTTAGGAAACTCATTATGTATATTTAAAAGAGTTTAAAATAACTGTCTTTATAAGATAATGTAGTAATTTACTTGTGTAGATAACAAGGCATGTATAAAAACTACCCTCTGCCCCAGAATAGAGAGCCATTCAGAAGCATTGTGATTGTGGTTACTGACTTCAAGTCATCAGCATGTCCCAATAGAAGCCAGTTTGATTTCTGTTTCTTACCATTCAAAATCATCAAAGCCAAAGTCTTAAAACCACTATGCATTGAAGTACCTTCTTTGTTTTAGTTCGTGGATTGGGAAGCACCACAATAGGCTTCTTCCCAAGTATTAAATATATTACTCTAGACTGTTCTCTGTGTCTGTATTGGACCTAGAGGATCATGTTTCTGAACTTGTATCCTAAACATGTAAATATAGTTGACCCTTGAACAACATGGGTTTGAGCTGCGTTGTCCACTTATATGCGGATTTTCTTTCACCTTTGCCATCCTGAGACAGGAAGACCATTCTCTCCTCTTCCTCCTCCTCAATCTGCTCAATGTGAAGACAACGACAAGGACGAAGACCTTTATGATGAGCCACTTCTGCTTAATGAATAGTAAATATATTTTCCTTATGATTTCCTTAATAATATTTTCTTTTCTCTAACTTATTTTATTGTAAGAATATAATATATAATACATAGAATATATAAAATATGTGTTAATTGACTGTAATCAGAAAGGCTTTCTGGTCAACAGAAGGCTGTCAGTAGTTAAGTTTTGGGAGAATGAAAAGCTATATACATTTGACTGTGCAGGGGATTGGTGCCCAACCCCAGCATTGTTCAAGGGTCAACTGTAATTTCGTAGAGGAAAATATTATATTCAATACCCTAAAGTCCATCATTACTAGAAAGAACTCAGAAGATACATTCTGTTCATCATGTATCAGTCATATATGCTGTAATTACTATACTACATTTATTTTCAAGTTGATATTATTTCTTCTCTTGGATAAATGTTATTGAGTCATAGGAATCTTTATTCAACAACACACAGAAGAGGACTTCAATTACCAGGTATATGCTAATATGCTAATAATATTCCTTCTCTTCTAAACCACTTGAAAAAGAGAATATATTTGTTGTTTCAACTTCTGCACTGCCCATTTAGTCCCAGAATTTACTTTTGTAATCTGACCAGTGACCTACTGGTTTCTACACACTAAAAAATGGACCCATTTAGAGGGTTCAATTTCATTGTTTTTAATATATCCTCAGTTATGCAACTATGATCACAATCTAAATTTAGAACATTTTCATCACCTCAAAAAGAAACATCATAAAACCATTAGCAGTCACTTCTCTGCCACCTGTTATTCCACCCTAGGCAACCACTAATCTACTTCTGTCTATAGATTTGCTTATCCTGGACATTTCATATTAATAGACTAATACAATATGTGGTGTTTTGTGACTGGCTTCTTTCACTTAGAGTGTTTTCAAGGTTCATTGACGTTGTAGCCTGTATCAATACTTCATTCCCTTTTATGGCTATATAATATTCTATTATTTGCATATATAACATTTTGTTTATCCACTTATCAATTTTTGAACATTTGGGTTGTTTCCATTTTTTGGCTATTATGAATAATGCTTCTATGAACATTTGTGTACAAGTTGCATGTAGAGGTATGTTTTCATCTCTCTTGGGTAAGGTATGTACCTAGAAGTGGAATTGTTGAGTCCTGTGGTAACTCAGTTTAACTTTTGAGCAAGTGTTAGATATTTTCCACAGTGGCTGTATTATTTTAGATTACCACAGCAATGTGTAAGGTTTTCAGTTTCTCCATGTCCTTGTCAACCCTTATTATTGTCCATCTTTTCTATTATTATCCTTTCTAATAGGTGTGAAGTGATATCTATCTCATTGTGGTTTTGATTTGTATTTCCCTAGTGACTAACGATGGCATCTTTCAAATATTTATTGGTCATTTGTATATCTTTTTTTGAGAAATGTCTGTTCAAATCCTTTGCCAATTGTTTAATTGGACTATTTTTCCTTTCCTTTAACACCTGGATCGAGCATGTGTCCTAATCTTTGTCAAGGGTCTCTGCATGCTTTTTTTGTGCATGCCTTCAACATTCAGCCATGTAATTTACATCCACCTTAAGCCTTCACTTTTTGCTTGCTCAGAGCTTTAAGATTAGCTATAGGTGAGAGTTTAGGGCCTTTTCAGGTCTTTCTTGAGCATACACATTGCTCTGGGCATACACACAATTCTGTTCATGTGCATGACTTTCTAGATTCTCAGGAATATGTTTGAGCTTTTATTTATTTATGTATTTATGTATTTATTTCAAGAAAATATGAGAGTACAAACATTTTGGTTGCATTTTATATCTTTGCCTCTCCATAGCAAAGGTTAGAGGTATGCCCTTCCCCTCCACAATGCTCACCGCATACCTCAGATGGGGGGCTACTCTCCCAATCCCCGAATTCCTGGTGAACACCACCACCATTTGAGCACCATAGTGTCAGTCAGTACCAATTTGATGGCAAGTACATGTGGAGACCATTCTTCCGATCTTGTGTCACCTCACTTCGAATAATGGGCTTGAGCTCAATCCAGGCTAATATAAGCAGTGCTAGCTCACTGTCGTTTCTTAAAATTGAGTAATATTCCATTGTAAACCAAATTTTAATAATCCGCTCATGAATTGACAGACACTTGGGTTGTTTCCACATCCTTGCAATAGTGAATTGTGCTGCCATAAACATTCAGGTGCAGATGTCTTTCTTATAGAATGCCCTATGCCCTTTTGGATAGATACCTAATAATGCTATTGCTGGATCAAATGGTATTTCTATTTTTAGCTCTTTGAGGTATCTCCAAATTCTTTTCCACAAAGGTTGCACTAATTTGCAGTCCACCAGCAGTGTAAGAGCATTCCTGTCTCTCCACATCTTTGCCAGCATTTGTTGTTTTGGGATTTTTTGATAGAGGCCAGTCTCACTAGGGTTAGGTGATATCTCATTGTGGTTTTAGAAATGTGCCTGAACTTTCTAAAGTCCTCTATGGACACCTGCTTCCTCACATTTTCTTTTTAAGCTTTTAGGTTAGCCTATTGTTAGCCGTAACTCAGGCAGTCTTGATGTTAAACAATTACCTCTGACTTTTTTCGACAAATACCTTCTGGGAGAAGTCTGTGCTACTGAGTTCCAAATTGAGTAAACTGAAGACAGGCTTGTGAAGTCTGGAAGCAGGAACCACCAGATCAGTCAAATAATGACAATTCTCAGGAGTGGGATTTTAAGGAGTTCCAACCCCTGTATCCTCTCCAGTGGGTGCTAGGCTTTACATTAGACTTGGAGGCTATAGCTTTTCATGGTTATCCTGGAGCTGGGGTGGAGAGGAGAGAATAGTGCCAGTTAAAAATGCCACCAAGCTCACTCTTCCTGAGACTCAGTCGTTTTTCTTAAGTAAATGCTCCCCATGTTACTGCAGGACTTTGTGTAATTGCCAGAGTTTTGAAAAAGTTAATGTGACAATTTTTCATTGCTTTTATGGAAGAGAAGATTTTTGGGGATCCTCATTTCACCGTTTCATCGAAGTCACCCATTCGTTCTTTTTTATATCTTCTATCTTGGTGAGATTTAAAATTTTTCCATTTGATTCAAGAAAATCTGTAATTGCTGTTTGAAGCATTTTTGTGATGGTTCTTTTAAAATCTTTGTCAGATGATTCCAACCTCTGATTTATCTCCATGTTACCATCTCTTGTTAATCTTTTTAAATTAAAGTTTGTCTTTGTTTGTGTTGCTATAAAGGAATACCTGGGGCTGGGTAATTTATAGAGAAAAGAAGTTTATTTGGCTCACAGTTCTGCAGGCTATACAAGAAGCATGGTGTCAACATCTGCTTCTGGTGAGGGCCTTAAGCTGCTTCTACTCATGGTGGATGGTAGAAAGGGAGTCTGAACATGCAGAGGTCCTGTGGTGAGAGAGGAGGCAAAAGAGGGCGGGGTAAACGTTGCCAGGATCTTTTTTTCAAACAACCAGCACTAGAGGGAAATAATAGAATGAGAATTCACCCATTACCATGAGGATGGCAGCAAGCTGTTCATGAGAAATCTGTCCCCATGACTCAAACATCTTCCACTAGCCCCACTTCCAACATTGGAGATGAAATTTCAACATGAAATTTGGAGAGTCAAATATCCAAACTATAGGAAAGTTGTTATTTTCCTGTTTCTTGGGCATTTTGAATATTACAAACTGTGATATAACTATAGGAAACTATATCCTATTTAAGTCTTTTACTTTAGCAGGAGGTCACCATGTTTAAGTTTAGCATGTAGGTAGTAGCCTATTATTTTGGGCTCTCTCTCCTGATAATTTAGTTTCCAGAGCCTTTGTAATGCTAATTTGGTCTGCTTTGTTCACATGATGCTACTGGGATTCCTGATTGATCTTGTCTGTGTGGAATGTTGTAATCAACATGTAAATAGTTTTAAAGCCATAAGATTAATTGAGATTATAAAGGAAGTGAATAGAGAAGAAGACCAAGCATTGTGCCCTAGGTTTGGGATATACAGAAGGAAACAATAAAGGAGACTAAGAGGGAAGGAATCTGAAGTAAAAGAAAAACGAGATGTAAGGGAGGAGGAAGAGAGTGTGACTGACCAGGTGTATCAAATTTTGTTCATGAAATAAGAACAGAAAGTTAACTATTAGATTTAGTAATGTGGATGTCATTGATGGTTGGAATTGATCTAAGATAGTGTTGGAGGAGCAGCAAGTATAGACAGCTCATTTTAGAAATTTTGCTACACATAGGAACAAAGAAATAGGTTAGTAATTGGTGGGGAAGTGATGTCTAGGAAAGTTTGTTAATAAGATAGAAGAAATAATAGCATTATTGTGATGATGAATTGTTCAGTGGTGAGATTTCAAATGTACAGGAAAGGAGAGAATTCATGAATCAATGTCCTTCAATAGATAAAAGAAGATAGGATCTAGTGCACAAATGAAGATATTTAGTTAGAAGTGTGGATTCTGTGGCAACAAATGGTAGGTGGTACAGTGCAGTTCAAACACTACCAAACACTACCTGCCCTTCCGTCCCCCCCCCCACACACACATGCACACTATCTACACACAGTCCTCCACAAAACTCCCCTTACTTCAGATACCAGGTGCAAGCTCCAGGTTTCTTAGGCCACCCATCCTTCTAACCAACTGGTTACAAATTCAAGTGTTCAACTACCCTTTCACGTTCAGTAATTCACAAAAATGACTCATAGAATTCAGGCGAACACTACACTTGTGATTACACCTTTACTGTACTATGTTTACTATATTTGTAAAGAATACAAATTAGAAACAACCAAATGAAGAGACCCATAGGGTGAGGTCTAGCAGGGTCCTTTATGTGGAACTTCTGTGTCCTTTCCCCATGAATCAGGGCCTGTCACCCTCCTAGCACATTGATATATTCATCAGCCAGGAAGTTCAATCAAGCTTCAGTGCAGAATTTTTATTGGAGTTTCATTATATTAATAGAGACATGGGTGATTGAACCACAAGGCACATGATTGAACTCAGTCTCCAGCCCTCCTCTTCTCCCTTGAAGTTTAGAGGTTGAGTTGACATCACATAGCTCAAAGACCTAGCCTTCAAGTCATACATTTGGCCTTTCCAGCATGGTCAGGCTCTATCCTGAAACTATCTAGGGACCCACCATGAGTCACTTCCAGTCTCAATCCATTGACATAGCTATAAAGTAATACCTAAGGCTGGGTAATTTATAGAGAAAAGAGGCTTACTTGGCCCATAGTTCTACAGGCTGTACAAGAAGCATGGCACCAGCATCTGCTTCTGGTGGGGGCTTCAGGGTGCCTCCACTTATGGCTGAAGGCAAGGGGGAGCCAGCATCACATGGCTAGGGGAAGGAAGCGGGACAGAGAGGGGAAAGAGGTGCCAGGGTCTTTTTAACAATCAGTTCTCACAAAAACTGATAGAGTAAGAACTCATTTCCATGAGGATAGCACCAAGCCATTCATGAGGGATCCATCCCCATGACCCAAACACCTCTCACTAGGTCCCACCTCCAACATTGGTGATCAAATTTCAACATGATATTTGGAGGAAACAGATATCCAAACTATATCACCTCCTTAGCATAAACTCAGCTGTTATCCCAGGAGCCCACCATAAATAGCAAAGACACTTATCATTCAGGATATTCCAAGTGAGAGCTCTTTCCCAGGAACCCAGGACAAAGACTAGGAAAATTCTTTATTATGCAATGTGTGGGTACTGTGATTGCAGTAGTCCTGGAAAGAGATCACGGTGGCCTGACCTAGGGTATTAGAAGAAGATATTGTCAGAAGTTGTCAGATTCAAGAAATATTTTGAAAACAAAGATGACAAAACTCAGGGTTGTATTAGATATATGGGGTATGAATGAGGAGCTTAAGATGGCTCTGAAGAAGTTGACTTGAAGAATCAGATGGAAGTAATTGACATTTACTAGGATACGAAGACTGATTAGAGCAAGCTGGGGGAGGAAGAGTGTTGGAGTAAGGATCAAGAGTTATTCTTTTGCGTTAATTTGTGTATATACCTGTTGGACTTTTGAGTGGAGATGTCAAATAAGAAGGTGGGTCTTCAGTTCAGGGTAATATTTCCTGTTGAATACACATTTGGAGGTTGTTAGGTTATGAGGCCTGTTTAAATCCATGGAACTGGATTGCATCACCTAGGGACTCAGTGTTGGTTGAGAATGGGTAGAAGAGGTATAAAGACTGAGTCTTTCAGTACCTCCAGTATTTTCAAGATGGACAGATAAGCAAGAATGAATAAAAGGAAACTGAGAGGAGGTGGGAAAACTAGGAGTGTGTCTTTTCATTGAAACTAAGAGACAAGTTATTTTACTTATACAAAGAATTGTTACATATTGACATCGCAGGTATTAGCTGTTTATATATAAGAGATATTTTTTCCTGATTTGTTATCTTTTGTTTTTTATATTGTCTTTATTTCACTTATTCGTAGGTAGAAGTTTTAAATTTTTATGTGGTCACATATACTGAGTTTTGAAATTCATAGGCTCAAGGTTAGTATTCTTAACTTCAAAATTATAAAGTTTTGCAGTCTCAGGAGTTTTTGTAAAATAATTATAAATGTTTATGTTTTATAATGTTTTATGCCTTTTTATATTTAATTGTTTAATTGGTAATATGAATATATTGATATAAAAAGGAAAGTAGGAATCACACTTTATTTTTTTCCAAATAGCTAGAAATTTGCATCTTTAGGAGGAGGGATTAAAGCCAGTTAAATTTTTAGATGAGATGATAAAGCAGCAATGACAATTCAGGTGATCTTTTTAGATTACCACATAGTGAGAAGTATGGCATATTTCATGATCCCTTTATCACTTGGTAAGAAAATGAGAGACAATGCTCTCTAATTGGCTTATTTTGCAAAATCATAAGATTAAAAAAAATTCTGGTTGTGTGGAAACAAGGCCAGAATTTTACTCCTGGGTTTACCCTATGTAACTATGTTAAAAGAAGGAAAAACTTTAAACAAAATAAATTTTCTAAAGTTTATTTGAGCAAAGAAGATTCGTGAGCCAGGCATCACTCAGAACCAGAAGTGGTTACGAGAGGTCTGCTCTGCAACTTGTGCAATGAGTATTTATAGATAAAACAAGGAAGTACAAAAATAGCTTGATTGGTTACAGCTGGGCATCTGCCTTCTTTTCACCTGGTTTGATCAGTTGACTGATCAAGTTTTGGTTTCTTTACCTACTAAGGTTGCATAGGAATTCAGAGTATAGACAGCCTCAGGCCAAATTTAATTTAATAATGGGCAAGTTAGTTGGCTGTGCTTTTATTTTCTCATCTGTCAAATGTTTTGTTATATTTTGTTTTGTTTTGTTTCCTTAGCTGATATGTTTGTTGTAAGGGTCAAATAATATAATATGTTATTTAAACTATAAGGTCAAGTTCATGTATGAGGTGCTGATTTTGGTATTTGGTAATGCTGTGCTATATAATGTTTCCTAAACAGTATGTACTACATCTACTCTGAAAAGATGAGTGGAAAAATAATCCATAGGATTAAGCAGGAAAAATAATGTATAGGATTTTTATAATGTCTCTGTTATTAATATTCAGATAAGTAATCTGTGGATAGGTTGAATTCTACCCTTCTATTGTGTTTAATTGTTTCCTTTCTTTGTTTCAGTTGCTGATTGTTGGAGGTTCTTTTGGTCTTCGTGAGTTTTCACAAATCCGATATGATGCTGTGAAGATTAAAGTAAGAACTATAATTGGAGTCGACAGGGTCTGTGTGTATGTATGTTCTGGTTTAGGAGAATTGTATATTCAGTATACTAAGCATTCAGAGTTTGTCCTGTTTTCAAAGTTAATATATGATCCTTGTGCTTTTTCCTTTCTTTTTTTTTTTTTTTTTTTTTTTTGGAGACAAGAGTCTTGCTCCTTTACCCCAGCTAGAGTGCAGTGGCATGATCATAACTCACTACAAGCTCAAACTCCTTGGCTCAAGCGATCCTCCTGCCTCAGCCTTCTGAGTAGCTGGTCCTACAGGTGGGCACCATGATGCCCAGCTAATAGAGATGCGGTCTTGCTCTTGCTAAGACTGATCTTGAACTCCCGCTCTAAGTCAGTCCACCCACCTCCGCCTCCCAGAGTGCTAGGATTACAGGCATGAGCCACCATGCCCAGCCTTTGTGCTCTTTCTTAATCTTTAAAATAATCTTAATGAGCCCATGAAAGGGAATCATGAAATGTAAAGACTTTAGTAATCTTTCTTCTTATTTATTAGAGAATTTGTAATATTGTTAGCTTTCTCCCACAAGATATGATCTGGTCTAGTTGTTTTTAGGATTTAGAAGGGACTAAAGAACATGGGTCAACAATTTCACTTCATTTTATCTCTCCAGTTATTAATATCAATTAACTGTTTCATATTAATATCAGTAATTTTATAAAGTATATTGATATGTATCTTCAGTAACTATTACTAAAAGAAAGGAATGTGATTTTTCATTATAAATAATGATACCTATCTTTTTATAGTGTCTACTTTGTGGTAGGACTATACTCATTCATATATATATACTTATTTTTTTTTTTTTTCTTTTTCTTTATTTTTCGTTCTTCAATAGAGTGCTGAATATATATACTTATATATATGTATATAAATATATGTATATATACACACATGCTCAAATGCTCCTTGAATTACAATGGGGTTACGTCCCAATAACTCATTGCAAGTCAAAAATGCATTTAATACCCTGATAAACCGATCGTAAAGTTGAAAAATTGTAGGTCAAACCACTGCAAGTTGAGGACCATCTGTATTTTACTGTCATTATATTACAGGAGAGGAAACAGAGACTCAGAAAGCTTAACTAGCTTGTGTAAGGTCATGTGACTAGGGGTAGAGTTAAGATTCTTACCCTCTATGACTACATAATTACTGTCAAATTCAGGCTAAGTATTACATAAAAATTCTGGCTCATTTATTCAGAAATATGTAGTTTTCATTTGTGGCACATACCTGATATTTGTAGGTTTTCTTCTAAGTAATATATGTTTTTCATTAGCAGACCTCAGTAATATTGGTGGGAAAGTAAGGAGTATAAAAGCATATTCAATTTTCTCAGTTAATTTTATGGTTTTAGTGAAACCAGCTCTAGCTAGTCTTAAAGATAGTAGATATTAGAGTAAATATTAAAATTTAAAAGACCATGCAATTTCTTTGAGGGAATAGAACAATTTTTAGTTAACTAAACAATTTCAGTTAACTAATAATTTTCAGTTCATGTTAAAAGGTTTCAGTTAGCATCCCAATTACTTTATGAAGGATTTTTTTTCTTAGCTTTTAAGATAAAAGTTATGATAATCTGACATTTAGAAGTGAGAGAACATGTATGTATTTGAAAAATAATTGAATATTTATCATGTGTTAATCATTTGTTAGAACCTTCAGATAAAGTATCAAGAAACTGGTTCTTATAGAGCTTACAAAATAATCAAGGCTGGAAGACATCTAATAAAAAAAAAAAGCGCCCAAACATATAATATAGCAATGCACAGTAAAATGTCATTACTAGACCTTCACGGAGAGTCATAGAGATTAGACTTGGGAAAGGGCAATCAGAGAAGGTTTGCTAAAGATATCAACCCTTAAATTAGTCTTTAAGAATGAGTGGGAATTAGCTAAATAGTTGAAATGATTTATATTCTATAAGGTAGAGGGAGTATTGGGTTTATGGTCAGAGTTTCATTTTAGAACTATCTCTCTGGCAGTGGAATACAGAATGGATGGGGATTGGGAGAGCAACATAGAAAGGGAGAGATTGTTTGGATTGGAAATAAAGAGACCTGTTAGGATTCTGGGGCAGTAGCACAGAAGAACCATAATGGAACCTGAAGTAAAACATTTACAATGGTGATAAAGAGAAATGAATGGGTTCCAAGAAATTTTTTTGTAGCAAATTGGTAGTATTTGATGATTGATGTATGTGATATCAAAATATGAATAAATCTAGGATGACTCAAGGTTTTAGTTTTGAGGACTGATAACTGGTTGTGCTAATCACCCACTTAAAGAGGATGAGGGAGGTTCAGATAACAGGAGAGGTCTAGAAGACGGAGAGAAAATAAAGAGAACAAGGTTAGGTAAAGTCAAGAGAATGAAGCTGATTGAAGTTGAGAGGACAAGGTAAGTTAAAGTCAAGAGAATAAAGTTAAAAGAATGAGATTGGTCAAGGTCTAGAGGAGGAGGATGAGACAACAAGGTTGAGGTGAGAAGGATCAGAAGACAAGGGCTACTAAGAGTCAGAGATTGAGGTTGTTTGACATTCAGAGGTCAAACTCAGGTGAAGTCCAAAGTCAGTGTTGGACAAGGTTGAGTTCTAACAAGGTAGAGAGGATGAGGTAGGCTAAGGTTGAGTGGAGTTGAGAGGGTGAGTTTTGTCCTTAAGGATTGAGAGGCTAGGATTGGTTGAGATTGACAGCAGTTGCAAGGATTGAGAGGTTGAGGTCAAGGGGAGCAGGGGTCAAGAAGGCTAGATTGCTCAGTCAAGGCAGTTTGAGACTGGGGTCTAGAGAACAAAGTTGGCTTAGAAAAATCAAAAGAGGTTAAGTTCTGTTGAGAAACTTGTAGAAGGGTGGAGAAAAGGTGGTATTGATTTGGAGTGACCATCCATCATAGTTTGCTTGAGACTGTCCTGATTTTAGTACTAGAAGTTTGGCATCTCGGGACAGAAACATGCCTGCTTTTCAGTGATGGGTGTGAAAGATTCAGAGGAAAGTAAAAGACCCCTAAGGCAGCCTAAAAAAATAAGAGCTAAAGCAACAGCTTTCAATTTTTAGTGTGAAATAGATATGGCATAGTTTATCTGTGGTCTGTAGTGGCTATTTCTAGTTTTTTTCTTGTTGCTGATACTGATAGCTAGGTATCCACAATAATGGACGACCTATTGTTGCATCACACCCAGTGAGGTGATTTAAGTGTGCAGTTTAAGTACATTGCAGTTGTGAACAGTAACAGTCTTTGACTTTGCCCGTCTGCCCATATGTTGTGCTGTGTAAGAAGATAGTGCTAGTTTAATTTTTTTCTTTTTTTTGAGACAGGGTCTTGCTATGTTGCCTGGATTAGAGTGCAGTGGTGTTATCACAGCTCGCTTAAGCCCAAAGCTCCTGGGCTTAAGCCATCTTCCTGCCTCAGCCTCCCAAGTAGCTGGGACTACAGGTGCACACCACCATGCCTGGCTGATTTTTAAAAAAATATTTTGTAGAGATGGAGTCTCGCTATATTGCTCAGGCTGATCTTGAACTCCTCCCACCTCAGCTTCCCAAAGTGGGAGGGATTACAGGCATGAGCCACCATACCTAGCTAGTTTTTAACATATAATTATATAATTTATATAATATATATAATTTATATTTATATAAATATATATAATTTATATTTATATAACATAATTTTTAAAAATCTTTGTTATATTTTTTTGATATCAGATGTGTTGAATAATATAAATATTACGACCATGTTTTGTAAAATTCAGATAATGAAAATGAGAACGATTACAATACCAATGTCAGTATGATCCAGACATCACTGAAAAAGAAAGCTAAATGACTCTTATTTTAATGACAGATAGAAGGACACATACAACTGGATTAGGGAGCTAAATAACCAAAACAGAGCACACTACACAATACGCAAAAAAGAAATTGCGATTGGTCATGGTGGAGACAGGGATGTCAAAGCACATATGAAGACTGAATCTCACAGGTCTAGAATGAGACAGGCAAGTATTTATAAATCAATCAGTTTACCCATCTCCCCTCTAAACACCAAACACTGTACTCAGACTAAAATAGCAGCTGCTGGGTTTGCTTCTACATACCATACCAACAAGAACATGTATTATTATCATATATTGTTCCCTTGATTATTCTATGAAACTGAGTAAAGTTACATTTTTCTGATTTAAAGGTTAGAATTAAACTATCCTGTGGGTGAACAAAAGGGAAATTCTGGTAACAGATCTGTTGACCCGCTACAGTATATAGTTGATTCTATTAAATATTACCAAGGATCATGCTTTCTATAGTATATCAACTGATGAATTGAATCATGATAACCAGATACCGTGTTTCCCCGAGAAAACATATTCATTTTATATTTATTTTTCCTCAAGAAGACACCCTAGGGCTTATTTTCAGCGGATGTGTTATTTTTTTAAGTATGGTACAACAATCTACATTTATTCAAATATAGTTAAGTCATCTTCTTCTGGAACATCATCATAACTCTCCAAACCCCGAATTCCATCCTGAATTTCTTGCAACTCTATTTCCTTTAGAACCATTGGCCCCAATCTCTCATGTTGAGCAATAGTGCTCTCATGGGGCCAATGAGAAGGGCTGCTCGTCTTCTTTACCACTCTGGGAGGAAATGCATGGGTTGTGCAGATATGCTGCGTAGCCACGCCCATCACTAGGTCTTATTTTGGGGGTAGGGCTTATATTGTGCAAGTGCTTAGAAATCCTGCTAGGGCTTATTTTATGGGTAGGACTTATTTTCGGGGAAATACTGTATGTCCACCTTAGCTCTTAGGCACTTTGATTTGGAAAACAGTGGAGTTTTAAATTATCTTCTGATTTTTTTGAAGATTTCAATGAAATGACAGAAAATGTAATACATTCACTCATATCTTGTCAGTTGTTACTTTGCTTAATCTTCTTTCTACTTCCTTTGTATTTCAAAATATTAAGGGCATAAAAATGTTTTCATTACATGGCTTGAATCAGGGCTATAAATGTGCCCCTTACCTAAAAAGTGTTCATTGTACTCTTTAAGTGGGTTTTTACCTCTCCCCTACTCCCACCCTCCCCTGCTTGATTTCCAATGATGTTTACTTCCCTCTGTCCGCCTGTGTGCCCATTGGTTAGTTCCAATTTGTTAAAGTACATGTGGTGGTTGTTTTTCCATTCTTGAGATACTTCACTTAGGATAATGGTCTTCAATTTCTGCCAAATTGCTACAAAAGGCATTAATTCATCCTTTGTTGTGGCTAGGTAGTACTCTGTGGTATACATATACCACATTTTGTTAATCTATTCTCGAATTGATGGGCTCTTGGGTTGATTCCACATCTTTGCATTTGTGAATTGTGTTGCAATAAACATTCGAGTACAGGTGTCTTTTTGATAAAATGACTTATTTTCCTTTAGTTAGATACCCAGTAGTGGGATTGTTGGATTGAATGGTAGGTCTACTTTTAGTTCTTTGAAAAATCTCCTTTCTGTTTTCAATAGGAGTTGTACTAATTTGCAGTCCCACCAACACTGTATAAGCATTCCTTTGTCCCTGCATCCATGCCAGCATCTATTGTTGTTGGACTTTTTAATAAAAGCCATTTTAACAGGAGTAAGGTGATATCTCATTGTGGTTTTAATTTGCATTTCTCTGATGATTAGTGATGTTGAGCATTTTTTCATGTGTTTATTGGCCATTTCTGTATCCTTTTTTGAAAAACTTCTGTTCATGTCTTTTGCCCACTTCCAAATAGGGTTGTTTTCCTTATTGCTGATTTGTTTGAGTTCTTTGTACATTCTGGATATTAGCCCCTTATCAGATGTATAGATTGAGAATATTTTCTCCCATTCAGTAGGTTGTCTATTTACTTTTTTTTTTTTTTTTTCTTTTTCATCCATATAAACTCGTGTGGAGGTTGTCTATTTATTCTGTTGATTATTCCCTTAGCTGTTCTAGAAGCCTTTTTACTTAATCAAGTCTCATTTATTTATTTTTGTTGTTGCTATGATTGCCATTGAGGCCGTAGGCATAAATTCTTTGCCTAGACCAGTGTCTAAAAGAATTTTCATACATTTTCTTCTAGAATTCTTAAGTTTTCATGTGTTACATTTAAGTCTGTTATTCATCTTGAATTAATTTTTGTGAGTGGTGAGAGATAGGGGTCCTGATTCATTCTTCTGCATGCAGTTATCCAGTTATCCTAGCACCATTTATTGAATAGGGCTTCTTTTTCCCAGTGTATGTTGTTGTCTACTTTGTCAAAGATCAGTTTGCTGTAGGTAGATGGTTTTATGTCTGGGTTCTCTATTCTGTTCCATTGGTCTATGTCCCTGTTTTTGTACCAATACCATGCTGTTTTGGTTACTATGGCCTTGTAATATAGTTTGAAGTCTGGTGATGTGATGTCTCTAGCTTTGTTCTTTTTGCTTTGTTATTTGGTCATTGGATTGCTTTGGTTATTTGGGCTCTATTTTGGTTCCAAATGAAGTGTAGAATTATCTTTCCTAGATCTGTGAAATATGCTTTGATATTTTGATGGGGATGGCATTAAACCTGTAAATCACTTTGAGTAGTGATTTATGTGGGCATTTTAACAATGTTAATTCTATCAATCCATGAGCATGATATATTTTTCCATTTGTTTGTGTAATCTGCAATTTCTTTCCTCAGTATTTCATAGTTCTTGTAGAGATTTTTCACCTCATTGGTTAAGTATATTCCTAGGTATTTTATTTTCTTTATAGCTATTATGAATAGTATTGAGTCTTTGACTCTCAGGTTTACTGTTATTGGTATATAGAAATGGCACTGATTTGTATACATTGATTTTATAACCTGAGGCTTTGCTGAATTTATTTACCAATTCCAGGAGTCTTTTGATGAAGTCTTTGAGGTTTTCTAGAAACAAGACCATATCATCAGCAAAAAGTGGTAGTTTGACCTCTTCATTCCCAGTTTGGATACCCATTATTTCTTTCTCTTGCCTGATTGCTCTGGCTAGGACTTTGAGCATTCTGTTGAATAGAGGTGGTGACAGTGAGCACCCTTGTTTTCTTGTTCCACTTCTTAAGTAGAATGCTTTCAACTTTTCCTCATTCAGTATGATGTTGGCTGTGAGTTTGTCATATAAGGCTTTTATAATATTGAGATATGTTCCTTCTATGCTTAGTTTGTTGAGGGTTTTTATTCTGAAAGGGTGCTGAGTTTTGTCTAATTCTTTTTCTCCATCTATTGAGATGATCATATGGTTTGGGGTTTTGCCTTTGTTTATGTGGTGAATCACGTTTATTGCTTTACATATGTTAAACCATCCTTGCATCCCTGGAATGAAGCTCACTTTGTCATAGTGGATTATTTTTTTGGTGTGTTGTTGAATTCAGTTTGCTAGTATTTTATTAAGGATTTTTACATCTATATTCATAATAGATATTGTTCTGTACTTTTCTTTTTTTGTTATGTCCTTTCCTAGCTTTGTTATCAAGGTGAAACTGGCTTCATAGAATGAGGTGGAGAAGATTCCCTCCTTCTTGATGTTATGGAATAATTTATGTAGTATGGGTACCGTTCTTCTTCGTAGGTCTAGGAGAATTCTGCCGTGAAGCCATCTGATCTAGGGCTTTTCTGTGTTGGAAAACCTTTTATTACTCCTTCAATCTTGCTGCTCATTATTGGTCTGTTCAGGAATTCTATTTCTTCCTGACTGAGTCTTGTAACATTGTATGTTTCCAGGAATTTGTCCATTTCTAGTTTATGTGTTTTCTAGTTTATGTGCATAGATATTTTCCTAGTATTCACAGATGATATTTTGTATTTCTGTGCTACCAGTAGTAATATCTTCTTTTTCATTTGATTGAGCTTATTTGGGTCCTTTCTCTTGTATTCCTAGTTAATTTAGCAAGAGGCCTATGAATTTTGTTTATCTTTCAAAGAACCAACTTTTTGTGTCAGTGAATTTTTATAATTGTTGTTGTTGTTGTTTTCCATTTCATTTAGTTCTGCTCTAACCTTTGTTATTTGTTTTCTTCTGCTGGCTTTGGGTTTGGTTTGCTCTTTCTTTTCTAGTTCCTTGAGATGCAATATTAGGTTTTTAATTTGTGACCTTTCTGACTATTTTATGTAGACATTTAAGGGTATCAATTTTTCCCTTAGGAATGCTACTGAATCCAAAGATTTTGATAGCTGTGTCCCCTTTGTTGTTCAATTCAAGGAATCTTTTGATTTCCATCTTAATTTCATTATTGACCCAACAGTTGTTCAGCAATAGGTTGTTTAATTTCTGTGACTTTGTGTAGAATTGAGTATTACTTTTGGAATTTATTTCTAGTTTTATTCCACTTTGGGCTGAGAAGATACATGGTATGATTTGGATTTTTTTGAATTTGTTGAGACACATCTTATGGCCTAAGATGTGATCAGTCTTGGAGAATGTCCTATGTGCTGATGAGAAGAATGAATATTTTATTGGTTTTGGGTAGAATGTTCTGTAAATGTTAGGTCCATTTGTTTTGGGGTCCCATTTAAGTCCAGTGTTTTTTTAATTTATTTTCTACTTTGTGCAGCTGTTACAGTGGGGTGTTGAAGTCCCCGACAATCATGATGCTAGTATTTATTTCCTTGCTTAGCTGTAGTAGAATTTGTTTTATGTATCTTGGAGCTCCTGTGTTAGGTGCATATATATTTAGGATTGTTATGTATTCTTGTTGAATTGCTCCCTTTACCATTATATAATGACCAAATCTTTGCGTTCCTTTGTTGTTGTTGATTAAAGTCAATTTTATCTGACACAAGAGTGGTTACACCTGCTCTCTTTTGGTTTCTATTTGCATGGAATATTTTTTTTCATCCTTTTACATTAAGCCTTTGTATGTCCTTGTGGTTTAGTTATGTCTGCTGGAGACAGTAGATACTTGGGTTTTGTTTTTTTTTCCCATCCATTCAGCCAGCCTGTGTCTATTGAGTTGCACATTTAAACCATTAATATTTAGAGATAGAATTGATGTGGGGGGTGCTGTTCCATTCATCATGTTGAGTAGAACTTTATTGCTTTGTTTTTTCTTTTGTGCTATTGTTTTATAAGAGTTATGAGCTTTAGCTTTTTGAGGTGGTTTTACATTGGTGGGTATCTATTGTGCTGATTTGTGAATAATGCGGTTCTGAGTACTTCCTTCAGGGCAGATCTGGTCTTGATAAACTCTCTTAGTGTGTGCTTATTTGAAAAATACTTAAGTTCTCCATCAGTTGTGAATCTTAGTTTTGCAGGATACAGAATTCTAGGCTGGCAGTAGTTCTGTTTAAGAAGATTGAAGATGGGGCCACACTTCCTTCTGGCTTGTAAGGTTTCCAGTGAAAAATCTGCTGTTAGCCTAATGGATTTTCCCTTGTGGGTCAGTTGTTACTTACGTCTTGCTGCTTGTAGAATTTTTTTCTCCCTTTGACTTTGGCCAGGTAAATTATTGTGTGTCTTGGAGATGTTCTATTTGCTGTGAATCTTCCTGGTATTGGATGATCATCTTGTATCTGGATGTCTGGATCTCTGGCGTTACCAGGGAAGTTTTACTCAGTAATTCCCTCTAATAGATTTTCCATGCTTTTAGCTCTTTCTTCTTCTTCCTCGGGGATACCTATATTTCGTATGTTAGTTTGCTTCGTACAGTCCCACGTCTCTCTAAGTGATTGCTCCGCCTCTTTTATTCTCTTTACTGCCTCTTTAAATGACTGAGTTAGCTTGAGAGGCTTGTCTTCAAGCTCTGAGATTCTTCTTGGTTTAGTCTGTTTCTGAAGCTTTCTGCTATGTTTTGAATTCCCTAAATGACTTACTACTTAAAGTTCTATTATATCCTTTCTTATATTGTTTAGCTCTTTAGTGACTTTTATATTAATTTCCTGAAATAGTTTTTGGCTTCTTTTTGTTGGTGCTTAACTTTCTCTTCAATTCCATTCATCTTATTTGCCATCCATATTCTGAATTCCATTTCTGTCATTTCAGCAATTTCCTTGTTAGAATTCACTACTGTAATCACTCCATTGTGATCACTTGAGAGTGTTGAACTATTTTGTTTTTTAATGTTGCCAGGGTTCTTTTGCAGGTTTCTTCTCATCTGAAACCTCTTTTCTCAACTTGGGGCCAATAGGTTTGCAGGGCAACTGTCTTTTGTGGGAACTCTCCTGCTTAATTAGAAGGAGAGGAGGTCCCTAGATGGTGCTTGTTTTTCTACTCTGGAATGTTGACATGGCAGGGGAAGGGCATGTACACTAGATGTTTGTAATACAGCTATTCTGATATTTCCTGTTCACCTGTAATTGCTACTGTTTAAGCCTGTGCTGGATGATCTTTGTGTTGGGAACTGGGCAAGACCCTCTCCCCAGAGGCTGCTATTGTGGGGATTGCTCTGCCTGGTGTCTCCCTGAACAGGTGACAGTGACAGGTGGGTGAGGCTGTCTGGGAAGTGGCCATCATTCCTCAGCTATGGGTGTTTGCTTGAACCAGGTCCCAGTATACTGACAGCTCAAGGCTAGGAAGTCCCTGGTAGGGCATTAGATCTTGGAGCAGGAATTCTTTGCTATTTTCCATTTAATTATTGCATTTCCTTCCTTTTCTTTATTCTCTAATTCTGGAACCTCTAGTAGATATATGTTAGAACTTTTAGGTCTAGCTTTCCTCTATATACCTTTTCTTTTATCCATACCCTTTTTATCTCTTTGTACATTATTCTAGTGTAATCCTCTTGTTATACTTCTGGTTTACTTATTTAGTCTTAGACTATGTTCCTCACTCACTATTCAGCTATTCCATTTAATTTAATTTGGTTTGTTGTTTATTGATTTCAGCCATCACATTTCTTTCCTAAACACTTTGCCACACACAAAAAAGACTTTTTACATGAGTAACATGGCATTTAGTTCCTATTTAGTATTATAGAATCCTATTTTTTTTCATAGATATCTCTATTTCTGATCTATAGAAGGTGTCCTTTTTTGTTTTCAAGTGCAACATTAAATTTAGTAGTATCTTGTATATCATTTCTATGTAACATAATTTAAGTAGGTAGTTGATAGTGTGTGGACTCTGGAAGCAGAGGGCCAATGCTCAAAGCTAAGCTGTGTCTCTTTGACAAGTTATTCAAACTCCCTATGTCCCATTTTCCTTACTTGTGACAATAGGGATAATAATAATACTTACAGGTTTTTTGAGGATTAAATAAGATAACATATCTCAAAATGCCTTACACATAAAAAGTATTCAGTAAATATTACCTGTCGTTAGTTGTAATAGTGGTGGTAGTAGTACATTAGTTATAATTATGTGATAGAGTGGATGGCAAAGATTTGGCCATGTGTTTGTATTTGGCCATGTTATTTCAGCCATCCCTTCTATAACTTTTAAAATCAAAATCTCACAGACTTAAATAACGTATGGTGCTTCTTTCTTTTCTACAGATTGATCCTGAATTGGAAAAAAAACTGAAAGAAAATAAAGTATCTTTAGAGTCAGAGTATGAGGTACTGTATGTTAATATAGTCTCTGTCCTATACCAGTCTTATTAGTCAGCAACTGATCTTATCTGCCTTAAACTTAAATTATTAGTAGTGCAGAAAAAAATTATTTATCTCGAATATATGGTATTTGGTATACTATATAGTCATTTGAGAAGAAAATAAAGATGGGTGCATACTTAATATACTACAACTAAATAAATTCCAGATGGATAAAGGTTTTAGAAGTAAAAAACAAAATACTGTAAGTACCAGAAAAAAAATGGAGATTTTTTTTTGTGGTCTTGAGTCAGAGAAGCCTATTTAAATGTGATATAAAACCCAAAAGTTATAAAAATAAAGATTAATAATTTCATACATAAAAATTCAAAAGTTCAACCTAAAAATCGAATGTATATAAAGTTACAAGTTATAGGAGACACCCTAAGAATATAGTTTGTCTTAGCATGGCAAATTAGTTTATTTAAATATGAAAACCACCTACAAATCAATATGAAAAAGTACAACAACTCAGCTGGTCAGTAGGAACATGGGCAAAGCATTTAAAAAGTTCAGAGGAAAGGAAATAAGTATGAATACCTATGTTCAATTTATCATAATAGAATATCAGTCAATTAAAGTTTTAGTGAGGTATTTCCACCCATCTAATTAGCAAAAATCAAAGAATTTAAAAGAATTTAAAAGCATACTATGTTATGGGATGTGTTCTCCATCTCTTAGAGTTTGATTGTTTTTTTTTTTGCCGGATCCTGTTTTCCTGTTTCTGTATATGTCTTGTCATCTTTGGTTGAAAAGTAAACCTTGTGAATAGTACATTGAAGAAAATTGTGAAGAGTGTTGATTTTCATTTTAGCAGGTAGTTTAATTATTGGCTAATCACCTTGAACTTGGTTTTGTGCTTTGTAAGGTATTATCTGTGGAAAGGCTATGGTCTAACTTGGTGGGACTCAATCTTGAAACTGTCTCCCCAGAGGATCTTGACAGGTGTTGGCTTTAAGCTTGGGATGAGTATAAAATAAGTCTTATTCTCGGACATAATCTTTACTCCTGAAGAGCAGCCTTTTTGGTGTCTTAGGTGGATGTCAAGGTAGCAACAACTACCACAACAATAGCCATGGATAATGGCTATTATTCTTTATTAAAAGCTTTTCATAACTTCAGATTATATCATAACTATACTTGAAAATGCCTTGCCACCTTCTTACATGCTAAATTAGAATTTTTTTCCTCCATATATATTTAACACAGACTCTTGATAAAACTATAAGTGAAATTTAGACAATGTTTTTATTCACTACTTTCCCATTATCTGGTTAAAAACCGTAATTTGCTACTTGTAGGTACATAAATAGTATGCCAATAGTGATGCTATGGTGAGTCTGTTTGGAAGTAAATTTTCCTTCTAGTTCTTTTAGAAACCATAGAATTTGAGAACTGAAGAAACCATATAGACCATTTGGTCTAGTCTTTTTATTATTGCTTAGGAGAGAGTTAACCCTTTGTATTCGGATGTCAAGTGTGGATAATGTCAAGTGGATAATGAGAAAAAAGCAAGCGAGTACAAAGGGTTAATGCTGAGATGGTTTAAACCACTTTAAACCACTTGCCAAAGTTTAAACAGCTGGTTAGTAAAAGAATAATGCTTAGTATCTAAGTGTCAAGGGAAATTTATACCATTTTCCCTATCTCTTTTTATAAGCAATTGTGTGTTTTCTCAGCCATTTTTTTCTATCTTACTCAATTATTTCAGAACAATCAAAGCAGCAGATGCATAAAAGTTACTGTCAGAGTGGTGGTCAGTAGAAGGGTGATGAAACATTTACCTTCTTCCCTTTTATCTTACCTTCATTTCTTTGCTTGAGGGACACTTCAAACTAAATGAAGGTAGGACAATCCAAAATGCATTAATAGTTAAAATTAGTTTCAATTGCCCAAAAGGGTTTTGCTCATGGTATATGTGAGGAAATTCTTTGCATTCTCATACCCAGGTTCATTTTTCAGGACAAGACAAATCATCTTGGCCTCTTTTCTTTCTTGTGGAAGACTTTAGGACTCCACCTTTGTTCTTTTCTTCTAATTTTCTACCATCCTCTATGATAACCCTTTTAGTCATTATTATGCTGGATCAGCTTTCAGATATGGACTTTTGTTTTTCCATCTTTTCCATCTTTTTGTGCTCTCAGAAATAAAGGCATGTACACTTTTTTCTATTTTAGTAGTTTTATGATTATGGAGAAAGATGGGCATTAACAACAATAACAAACAAGAAAAGTTCTAAATTTTAAGAAATATGACATTTCTTCAATTATGTTTGGTCTGCAGTTGATTTATTTGCTAAAATTATATTTGGGGGCCTATTAGATTCTTTCCACTCATTTATTCATTTATTCAGTAATGTCCTAATCAAAGCCACAAGGCTTCTATGCTAATATGTATACTTTAATTTTTTGTGGTTCTTTAGAAAATAAAGGACTCCACTTTTGATGATTGGAAGAATATTCGAGGACCCAGGCCTTGGGAAGATACTGACCTCCTCCAAGGACGAAATCCAGAAATCCTTAAGACTAAGACAACTTGACTATGCTGATTCTTTTTTTTTTTTTTTAAATAAAAATACAATAAACTGTTGCTCTCACTTCATACTCCTTTCTAGGTGAAAGAAAATTCCAGGTCCATGGAAACCTGGATTTGAGTAATTTGATGTCAGATAGTCTTGATAAAATGTCAAGTACAGGTCTTTATACTGTTTAGCTATTCCATTTGCAAATAAAAGTAACAGTGTTGACTATATTTACATTTTCAACAAAAATGTGGATACTGCTACTAAATTATATATGTATTCTGTTCTCCAACTACCCACCCATATTCCTTTTCTACTTGCCAGTAGGGCATCATTTTGAAACTTCATTTTGATTTCTGATGCCTAGTGAAAATAGCCAATCTGGATCCACATTCTCACAGTAAAGCAGTGACTTTATGTCAAACCTATTGGGAAAAGAATAGTGATTTGATCAAAGTCTTGATTTTATATGTAATACCTCACATAGTGTGCTAATTGGTCTGTAAAGCACCACCTGATGATTGTATTGATACCATTAACATGTCAAGGAAATTATATTATGGCAAATTTGTTCAGGTAATCCACAGGTGACTAAAATTCAGGAAACACTGTTTAAAGTATATTTTACGCCTCAGAATAATTTGTTTTCAAATTGACACTCAAGTTTTTTTGTTTGTTATTTAACTTTGGGTTTATGCTATGATATGATTTCTAGGCAAAAGGATAGAATTGAGGGAAGTTAGTTTTTCTGAACTTACTTTCTTCTTTTCACCCCTGTCTTGGGCAACTTTATTCCCCTACCTTCCAGTATTTTCATACTTAGCTCCAGATGCATAAAGTCTCAATGGAAACACTCCCCTATAATTGCCAAAAAATCATAACCCAACCCATCCTCTCCCCCCAATCAAAATTTGTATTCTTTTCAGCAGATTTGTTTTAGCAAAAAGTAGAGTAAGTTGATTATTTAGTCAAGACAATTTGTGATAGAGATGATTTGTAAGAGTTATCTGAGGGAGCAAATAGATTTCATGGGAGAAAGGAAAAAAAACCCCTACCTAAACCTCACTCCTTACACAAAAGTAACTTCAAAATGGATCATTGATTTAAATAAGTAAAACATAAAACTATAAAACTTTTAGGAAATAAAAAAAAAAACAACAGGAGAAAGTGTTCTGGACCTAGTGAATAGTTCTTACCAAAAAATATTCATAAAAGATGAACTCAACTGATTAACTTTATCAAAATTACTAACTTTTGCTTACTAATAAAATTGATAAACCTCTAGCCAGACTAAGAAAAAAGAAGACACAAATTACTAATACAGTAAATTTAAAAAAGGACTATCACTACTACCCGCTTATGTTAAAAGAATAATAAATATTAACAAGTCTGTGTCCACAATTTGATAACCTAGAAGAAGTAGATCAATTTCTTGAAAGACACAATGTACTAAAACTCATATAAGAGGAAATAAATGATCTGAATAATCAATAATTAATACCCTTCCAATAAAGAAAGCACCAGGCCCAGATGGGTTCACTGGTGAATTCTATGAAATTTCTAAAGAAGAAATTTTGCCAATTCTCTACAATCTCTTCCAGAAGACAGAGGCAGAGAGAATACTTACTAATTCATTCTGAGGCCCTATCCTACTCTAATACCAAAAGCACACAAAGACATTGCAAGAGCAGAAAACTAGACCACTATTTCTTATGAACATAGGTGGAAAACTCCTAAACAAAATAGTAAATTAAATCCAACATGTATAAAAATATGCCATGACCAATTGAGATTTTTAAAATAAATTTTATGTATATATTTTTTTTTTTTTGAGACAGAGTCTCGCTTTGTTGCCCAGGCTAGAGTGAGTGCCGTGGCGTCAGCCTAGCTCACAGCAACCTCAAACTCCTGGGCTCGAGTGATCCTCCTGCCTCAGCCTCCCGAGCAGCTGGGACTACAGGCATGCGCCACCATGCCCGGCTAATTTTTTATATATATATCAGTTGGCCAATTAATTTCTTTCGATTTATAGTAGAGACGGGTCTCACTCTTGCTCAGGCTGGTTTTGAACTCCTGACCTTGAGCAATCTGCCCGCCTCGGCCTCCCAAGAGCTAGGATTACAGGCGTGAGCCACAGCGCCCGGCCAATTTTATGTATATTTAAGGTATAAAACATGTTATAAGATACATATGTTGTATATAATGAAATGGTTACTATAGTGAAACAAATTAATAAGATTTATTGGAGATTTACAAGGTTGGATCAATATTTGAAAAGCAATATAATCTATCACATCAATAGGCTATATAAGAAAAATCACCTGGTCATATTAATAGAAGCAGAGAAAGCATTTCAAAAAATTCAATACCCATCCATAATAAAAACTCTCAGCAAACTAGAAATGAAGAATAACTTCCTCAACTTGATAAAGAACATCTATAAAAAAAATCTACAGCTAACATTACACTTAGTAGTAACTCGATGTTTTCCTAATAAGATCAGTAATAATGCATGGATTTCCCCTGTCACCACTCCTATTAACATCATGAAAATTTCTAGCTAATGCAGTAAGACAAGAAAAGAAAATGTATAGATTGGAAAGGAAGAAATACTTTCTTTACACAGATAAGATTTTCTATGTAAAGAATCCCAAAGAATTGACAGCAAAAAAAAACTGGAAAAAATAAGCATTTATAGCAAAGTTGCAAGATAAAAGGTTAATATACAAAAAACAACTTTCCTATATACCAGCAATGAACAATTGGAATTTGAGATTAAAAACAACACTATTTGCATTAGCACCAAATAAAAGCACCTTTGACATAAATCTAACAAAATATGTACAAGACTTATATGAGGAAAACTACAAACCTCTGATAAAAAAAATGAAGAAAGATCTAAATAAATAGATATTCCACATTCATGGATAGAAAGACTCAATATTCTCATGGTTTAATTTTCAACTACATTGAATGCAATCCCAATAAAATCTTAGTAAATTATTTTATGAATATCAACAAACTGATTCTATAGATAGTATAAAAAATTAAAGGTATGATGACAATGGTTCATCAAATAGAGAACACCAATAAAGAGATAGAAATTACAAAACAGAAATAAATGGAAATTCTGAGGTTGAAAGTACAAAGACCAAAATGAAAAATTCACTAGTGAGGCACAAGAGTAGTTTTCAACTGTCAGAACAAAGAATTGAATAACTTGAAGTTGGGAGATTATTGCAATCCGAAAAACAGAAAGAAATGAAAAAACAAAACAAAAGCCTCAGAGATATGTCAGACACCATTAACCCTTTGCACTCGGATGTCTAGTGTGGATAATGTCGAGTGGATAATGAGAAAAAAACAAGCGAATGCAAAGAGTTAAGTGCATCAAATATGCTTATCAAGAGTAACAGAAGAAAAGAGTGGAAGTAGCATAAAAATCTTCAAAAAATATCAAAAATTCTTTCCACATTTAATGAAAAACATTAATCTAAAAATCCAATAAGCTCAACTAACTTAAAATAGGGTTACTACAAAAAAAATTCCAAACCCAGACACAATCACAGTCAAAATATTGAAAGATGCAGAGAGAATCTTAAAAGCAGCAAGAGAAAAACATTTTACAATAAGATTAACAGCTGATTTTTCATCAGGCATAATGGAGGCCAGCAGACAATAAGATGACAGACATATTTAAAGTGCTGAAAGAAAAAACTGTCAACAAAGACACCTAATTCTAAGAAAAATACCTTTCAAAAATGAAGGTGAAATAAAGATATTTCCATGTAAATGGAAGTTGAGAAAATTTGTAGTTAGCAAACTTGCCTTATGAGAAATACCGAAGGTGTGTTTTTAGGTGAAGAAGAAGCAAAACCATATATAGTAATTCAAATCCACAAGAAAAGATAAATAGCACTGATAAAGGTAATTAGGCATGTAATAATATACATTTAAATTATAATTATTCTTACCTCATTTTTAATATATGTGTATATTTTAGAGATGGGGTCTCATTCTGTCACTCAGACTAGAGTACAGTGGTACGATTGATCATAGCTCACTGTAACTTCAAACTCATGAGCTCAAGTGATCCTCCTACCTCAGCCTCCCGAGTAGCTAGGACTACAGGAGTATGCCACCACACCCAGCTAATTAAATTAAATTAATTTTTTTGGTTTTTTTGTAGAGACAGATTCTCACTATATTGCCCAGGCTGGTCTTGAACTCCAGGCCTCAATTGATCCTCCTGCCTCAGCCTCCCAAAATGCTGGGATTACAAGTGTGAGCCACTGTGCCCAGCCTCTTAATTCATTTTAAAGCAAACAAAATGTTATTTATAAAATGTATTTTGAGGCCTATAACATATAGATATGTAATATAGTAGAAAATCAAAGAACAAAAGAAAGGAACAAAATGTACCTTTATTGGAATAAGTAAATTTAAAAACTTACTTGTAAAATTATAAGAAGAAAATGACACCTGATGGTAACTTGAATCCACAGGGCCAATGAAGAGAATTAAGCATTGTAAATAAGATTAATATAAAAATTTTATAAGTAAGTTTTTAGAAATTTCTCACATTCTTTAAAATATAAGATTGCATAAAGCAATAATTATAACACTACAATGGGCTTGCGATGTGTATATGTAATATGCATAATAATGGCACAAAAAAGGGGGAATCAAGCTCAAAAGGATAATTTCTATATCTTATTGAAATGAAGTTAGTGTAAATTTGACATAGATTCTAAGTTAGTATGTATATTGTAAGCCCTAGGGTAACTCATAAGAAAATCACTCAAAAATATAGTTAAAAAAGAATTAAATGTTATGCTGGAAAATATCCATTTAATACAAAGGTAGGCAGTTAAGGAGGAATAGAGAGAGGAAAACTGTAAGAACACAAACAGAAAAAAGTCCTACTTATCAGTTTGGATATAAAAGGATTAAATTATGAATTAAATGGCAAATTGGCAGAATGCATAGAAAATACACTCCCAACTCTATGCTATCTACAAGAGGCTCACTTTATTTTTTAACAGCTTTGAGATAACATTGACATAAAAGTTATATACATTGAAGGTGTATAACTTCATGTTGTTACATACACATACATTGTGAAATGAGCACCACATTCCAGCTAATTAACACATCTGTCACAACTACATAGTTACCATTTGTGTGTGTTTGTGTGTGCATGTGTGTGTATGCTCATCAGGCATATTGT